TGGCTCCTGATTGTCACAGAATTACCCAAGGAGTTGACCTAAGTGATACCAAGATAGTGGGATCAAAAGCCAAACAAACAAACAAACAAAAAACTCAGCATTCTAAAGTCAAGAAATTTAAGGAAACTGTGGCTGAATAAAATTAAACTGGTTTCTCTAAAGCCCAAACGTCTTGGATCATTTGATGTTAATGGATGACCTTAAACTCCAAGAACAGGATAAAGAATTCTGAGTTTGTGGTTGCAGGGGCCCACACAATCTTCACGTCTAGGAAGATCTGGCAGAACTAGTGTTTCCCAGGACACACTCTAGGAAATACTGTTCTCATGTGTCCATCAGGAAACGACAGTGTTCATCCGATAGCATGGAAAACATTCCCACTGGTTTTTGTCAATCTTTGCTCAAAGTGAACTAAGGGTCAAGTTCCTTTAGCATAATCTGTGGGCTTCCCTCTTCCCCCATGGCACATTCAAACCGCATGTTTTCTGTTGTTCTTGATCTTCACAGCCCACAGTAAATGTCCTTCAACTGAAAAGCACTTGTGACTGTTTCTCTCCTTAACACTGAAACTCAGCAGGTCTAGGGCATCTTTAAAAAAAAAAAAAAGAAAACCAACTTTCTGCACTAAGATGATATTGTTAAAGAAACAAACGTGGGTCACCCATTTTTAGGCACAGCTGTGCTGTGAGTGGGCACTGGCCCCTGGTGTCACTCAGCCCGATGGTACTTCACACTGATTCATGCTCTAAAGAACTGAATTCTTTGAAGAAAATTGTCCTTTGTGTAAAATGCCAAGACAGACAGATGATGGTTGAAGAGAGCGACAATGACCTTAATTGAGAATATGCCCAAATGAGAATATGAAAAAAAAATTAAGAAAGGGGGAAAAAGGGATGCAGAGGAAGAAGGAAGGGAAGGATAGAGGAAGGAAGGAGAGGAAGCAGATGGGGGTCTGGGGGTGCCAAACAGGAGTAAAAATGGGTGGGAGTGGGGAGGTCTAACGATTACTAAATGTCCTCTGTGTCTTTGGGAAGGGCAGATAGAGGTGTTTTGAAAAGTCATAGGCCAAGTCATTTGACAGGGGTTTTGAGAAATGAGAAACACCAAATTCTTTTTAAAAATATAAGCTACTACTGGAAAAGACTGTGAAGGGCCAAGATCAAGCCTGAGTTCCCTCAATACCTGTATTTTAAGGGTAGACATCTATAAGAAATATGACCTCCAAACTCAATGATCAGGAGAGAGCCCTGAGCGCCAGAGTGTGAAGGAAAAAAACCAGAGCTGAGCGCTTCCACCCACTACGTGCTTCCCCGACATTCTCCAACCACCCAACCCCAGTCAGTGCCTTGGCTGCGTCCTCAGCCACATATCTGATACCGTGGCACCAGGCACCGACAGCAAAGTTCACCCTTCACCCCACTGAGTCAACTCTGCCAATTCATCAGATATTCACCTATGGAAGAAACTCCAGGGTTGTGATATGAAACTTAGGACAGTGGGGTTAGGAATGAGGAAGGAACATGCTATTCACTATTTGGGCAATCAGCTAGAACTCCCTTGCTAACCTGTTGGGCTACTTCAGCTCTACCTCCATCCGACCAATATCCAGTCTGGACCTGTTATGACAGAGGCCACATTCCTGTGCAGATTGGCAGTGATTCCATTTTAATTTATCTCAATTATCATGATTTCGGGACTTTCTGCTTAGAGGCAGAAAGCACTTAAGATTAATACTCAATAGCTTAAAACTACAGCCTGAAACCCACAGTAAGGTCTAAAAATTCTGTATGTTTGATATGGAAAGCTGAGGACAAGCAAATAATATACATTAATTAATGGTCTCCCCAGGTTTCAGAGACTGTGGTGGGAGGGGGCCCACATGGACATGTGCAGTCCCCAACATCGAGAACCTCCCCACGCAGAAGAGCTGAAGAGAGGCGCCATCTGACCAGACCAGGAGTAATCATTATCTAAATCAGATTTCATGCCTTGTCACTTTCTACAGGTGAAAACTGTTTGGAAAAAAAAATAATAACCCAGCTTAACCAGGAAGCAGAACCCTGGAAGGAATGTTGAGGGGGCAAGGAGTGACATGAGGAAAAATAGAATTCTGGGAGACATAGGAAGGCACACAAGCAGGGATAGAGACTTTGAGGAAACCAGATAAAACCAGGGGTTATTCTGATAGAGGTTATGGAGAGTTGTGCCTGGAGAGTCAGAAACAGATCAATTTCATGGAGATTTCTGTGAATGGGAAACTGAAGTTATTTAGCTGGAATTCGAGGGATCTTGAGGAAACATTTTCAACCTGGAACAAATCTGGAATCCAAAGAGAAAAGGATCAGCTTCCTTATGGAGCAGGAAAGCTACAAGAAAAGACCACATTTATTTTGCCAGGGTAAGAGAGCCAGCAGGAAATGGAATAGAAAAGCCACCGGGGAAAAAGCATAATCGTAAATGTAAGCTACGTTCTGTTACCCTAAATGATGGACTGTCTGTGGTCATTTTCAAGAAACATCAGTTGAGCTGAGTAATGGTGACAGAGACCGTATGGCCCACAGAGCTTAAAATATTCACTCTCTGGCCCCTGAGAGAAAAAAAATGGCGAACCACTGGTCTAGACCCTGCCTTGAAACGGCCCTGATTCTGGGCAGGTAGTACAGTTTGCTGTATAACAGGCCCCACATGGCAAGCAGAGACCCATAAAAAAATTTCCTAGAGAAACAGAGAGCCAAAACTATTTTATTGTCACAAGTGACTGAGCAAAAGGTATGGTAAGTCCGAGGTTCCTGAGCGCAGTAACAAGCAAATTCTACCTACAACTCCCCCGTAAAGACAAAGACATTAACTTCTATTTCTCGGCAGAACTTGTCAGATACAGTCCACCAGCCCTACATACTGAGGACAATATGTACTTGCTGTAGCCCATCAACACTCTCCCAGTTGTATCCTAAGAGAAGGAGCAGAGCAGGAAGATGCCTCCTGCATGATGGAAAATGGGCCATCTGTCCTTTGCTGCCATTGCCACTGCTCACGTGAGGGTTGTTGAGGACGGTAGTACCTAGTGTCCTGGTCCCAGCACAGTTAGTTACCTTTTCTGAATGTCTCCCGTCTTTCCTCTGTTTCGCTGTTGACTCGATTCTGTACAGGTTCAACCTCAGGTTCCTGGTCTTCAAGTTCATCTTCTGTTTCATCGTCACTGTAGGGAACCACTTCGTCATTAGGCTGGGAATCCTCCTGAAATGTCGTTTCTGAGTCTCTTTTTGTACTCATTCTGCTGGCAGATTGGAACTACCTGGTTTAAAAGAAAGAGAAACAGGAGTGAATTCTGACCCGAGCCCAGTTTTTGGTTGAATACTGCCTGCATCCGGTTACAATGTCCTTTTAACAGTACCTTATCTCACTAACATGTAAATATGTCTGAATAATGACCCAAAAGTTAAAATTGTCACACAAATAAAAACAAAACCATTCATTATTGATTAAATGCTTGGGTGAGAATTAACAACAACAAAAATGAGCCACAAGTTTTGTTTTGTTTTGTTTTTAAGGGGGTAGACAAACGTTAAGATTGTGTTTCAAATGGTGGGCCTCTATGCAGCGAAATCAATTGAATTAGTTCACAAACAACATTAAAATAAAATGCAACCGATTATAAAATATTAGAGTACAGCAGGCAGAGTAAGAGTTCGTGCTGTTTGGTGAAACGGTTTACAAAAGCGACGTATACACACATTTATTTGCATTGTGGACCTAATGAAATTGAATTTATTACTGTGGATTGCCGGCAGAGTTTGAAAACCACTGCCCTAAATTATCTGGTTTCTGCTAACATTAATATTCTGAGCCTTCATTCTGATACATTTTAAATGCAAGCTTAGGTCCTCAGATTTTGCGAATGACTTCCTGGGAGCTGTCCATAGCCAATTTTCCTGCCACCATCCACACTCTGTTATCTAGAATTTGTGTTTGTGTATATACCACTGTATAAAGTGACTCTACACAAGTGACAAGGACAACCTTAGTTATAATTATATGAGGAAAATATTTGCACAAATATCTCAGGACAGACATACAGCCTGGTGTTATTTACATAAGCATCGCATTGCCACGTACTCAGTACTGTTAAAAATAGCCGCTTATATTTATTTTGTGTTGCCTGCATGCCAAACTCTGCCTGAAATGCTTTACAGATGATGGCCCCTTGAAACTTCCCACACCACCATGGTGATGGTGTTGTTATTCCTACTACAGAGAACAACAAAACTCTGCAATGTTGAATAACCAGCACGATAATCATTAAAATTTTGCATCCAAAACAATTCCTTTCCAAGGAGAGATTTTCTATATTCTACTTTTACATTACAGTTTGTAATATATTTTAATTGAGAGTTCGTTGCCTGGAGTGGGACTATTTAGCTGATTGGATGCTTTATACCAAATCGAGCCTCTTGGACATCTAAATGTGTATAGTCATAAGTCCACATCTAGGGAACGTTCAAATAGTTATATGAGTGTTTTGTCCAGCGTTATTTAAAATGCTGAAACCCAGAAGCAACCTGGATGTCCAATGACTGGCAAGTGTGTACATAAATTGTGGCGTCCTCATATTATGGGACAGTGGGCAACACTTTAGATCACGGTCAGAAGGGGCTTTAATGACATTGCAAGTGTCCAAACACATTAGGTTGAAAGGTGAATTAACCATCCATATGTACAGCACCGTCCCAGTTATTCGCACACACATTTATTTTCCAAAATTCCAACAGTTGCCATGCATGCTTTTAAGTGAGATGATGCATGTAAAATGCTCGACTCAGTACTTAGCCTACACTAAGTACTCAAAAGTTACTCATTGCTTTTACCATTTAAACCATTTTTAAGTGTCCAGGCCAGTGTGGCATTAAGCACACTGCATAGAAACACTTTGTAAGCGATCACTTCATCATCCTTACTGCCACGTACCTCTGTGCTTATTTTCCATGTTAAGACTGGATCCATTCCTTCAAGGTTAAGGAGGAGACAAACAAAAAGAAGTGGACTTGACACACATGAGTATGTGATCCAAAGTAAGCAAAGCATTGCATAACCAACCATCTCGCCACCTGAATGTCCACTGTAGGCCAGATTTGTGCAGGCCGACCTGGAAAGTACAGGCAGGGAGCACCAAGCCACGTGGGAAGCTCCCTGCTATATGTTCCTATGTATGTGTAGAGTAGACAAACAGAGGACTAGTTTATCTCTGTCATTTAGGACTACCAAAGGAAAATTAAATAGGAATCATTTCTTCCAAGCCCTCGCTCATATAAAGCAGTTTCCAGGTCAGAACCATGATCCCTGTAAGGCAGGCCCTCTAGATAACATGGACTTGGAAACTTTGTAACGTCTCTTACCACCACTCCTTGCTCGCATGTGTGCATTTACTCAGCCTCCTTTAAGACAGGTGCAGGCTGTTACACTAGGCCCTGGAAACAGACCTCTTAGAGACTTCTGGGTTATTGAGGGATACAGATGAGTCAATTATGCATGAGAGCCATAAGATACAGTCACTTCTACCCACTCCCCCCGCCACACACACACAACTCCAAGCCATGCCCTCCTCTCCGTGTCCATGGCCACCACCCTAATTCAGACCACCATCATCTCGCCTCTGACATGCCACACGTGCACGCTAACTGGACTTCCTGCAATGAACCTCCACACGGCCACCGGAGTCAAGCCATTCTCCTTCCATTCCCTCCTTCTCGGTGCTCATGAAAGACTGTGATTTTCAAGACAAACACTCAAAAACTGTATCCACCATATTGGAACAAAAGTCCTCAGCCCCCTCTCCTCCACCCCTTTACCTGATCCTCCCTAAGGAAGGTTCCTTGATAAATGTATTGGTCAGAAACTGAAGCACTAGGTAGGAGGGGTCGTGTTACTGGATTACCAGCTTTAGGGTTCAGGATAGTGCATGGGTTGTTCCCCACCTCACTATCTCCATGTGGTCAACACCCCAGGATGGGGTCAGGCCCATCAGGCTTCCTTCTCTGTCTCCCAGCAGGCAATTGTCTGGCTAGTGGGCTCTAGGCTTTTCTGCAGGCCTGACTAAAGAGAGCCTGGGGAGGTGGCGGCTGGTTAGCTCAGTTGGTTAGAGCACAGTGCTCCTAACACCAAGGTTGTCAGTTCGATTCCCACGTGGGCCACTGAGATGTGCCCTCCACAACTAGAACAAAACAGCTACTCCACTTGGAGTCGGGGCAGCCATTTAGCTCAGTTGGTTAGAGCACAGTGCGCATAGCACCAAGATTGCCGGTTTGATCTCCACGCCCTCCACAAGTAGATTGAAATAACTACTTGACTTAGATAGAGCTGATGGGTCCTGGAAAAACACACTGTTCCCCAATAAAAAAGAAAAATAAATAAAATTGCTTAAAAAAAAAAAGCCTGGAGGGGCTGGGGTAACAATGAGTGGGAGAAAGGGGAGGAGCAGAAAATAAGGGGCATCATTTATAGCAGAGCTGGATTTGGGGCTTCTCCAGCTTTTAATTGAGTGGCACCGCATTTCCCATCCTGCCTTCTATAGTATTCAGCTCCCATGGTCATAAACCCCAGGAGACAACAGGGGCAAATGGCAGGGTTTCCACACTGGAACCCCTGACATCCAGCCTTTTTCATCTTTGGATGCTTGGCTATGAAACGCTTGTGAAGTGAATGCATGCATGAAATCTTCTATCCCCTTTCTGGGGAGGCACTGAAGGAGAGAAAAAAAGGGAACCCAGGCAAAAAGAATGAACTTTCTGCCTCTGAAGTCAGAAGGAATGAAAGCACAAACTTTTGTTGCTATCACAAGGTTTCTAGATTCAAATGAAGGGACAGTGGGGACCAAAAAATTTGAGTTTTGCTACTGCCAGGGTATAATCTATACGCACGCACAGCAACAAAGGGAATTCAGAGGTTGGGACAGGCCAAGAGGCACTGATCAATGAAATCTTTGTTGTAGGGCTTAATTTGTGTCCAGAGTGACCCAAGCTTAGACAGGAAGTAAGATTCACAATATTTATTTTTATTCATTCTTTGTCATTTTTATTTATTTATTTATTTTAACAGCTTTTAAAGTCCTCAACAAGAAAGGGTCTTTCTTTCTTTTTTTAAAAAATTAGTTTCAGGTGTACAACACAGTGCAATAGTTACACTTTTTACAAGAAAGGGTATTTCTAAATGCATTTTTTCCCTAATTTCATTTGCTTATTATTATTAAAGAAAATATAAAATGTGTCATATATCATGATATAGTAAATTCGTATATTATATGGCTGTATGTTCTATACTATGTATGTTTATAGTATATGCTTGATAAAATATAATCAATTACAACTCTGGCAGGCAAAATCTAAGGTGCCTCCAATGATCCCACCGTCTTTTGTACAGTTCCCTTCCCATAGGAGTGGGCTGCTTTTAACCAACAGAATACGGCACAGGTAATGGGATGTCTCGCCCACGGTTAGGTTACAAGAGGCTGTAACTTCCTTCTTGCCAGCCAGCTCTCCCCTCGTCCTGGCTTTGATAAAGCCGCTGCCCCACAGAGAGGCTCATATGGCAAGAAACTGAGTGAGCATCCAGCCAATAGGCAGAAAGGAACTGGGGTCTTCAGCCCAAGAACCCTCAAGGAAATGAATTTTGTACAGGTATGGCATGTACATATAGCTAACAATACTGCATTGTACATTTGAAAGTTACTGAGACTTGGTCTTCACAGTTCTCATCACGAGAAAAAAGTCTGTAACTCTGTGTGGTCAATTTATATAACTGACATATAAATTTGCAGTTTAGTTTAAGGTGTGCAACATAATGATTTGACTTATGTCTATACTGCAAAAGGAACGCTATAACTAAACTTATGGTGATCATTTTGCAATATTGTGCACCTTAAACTAAAGCAAATTTTATGCCAATTATATCTCAATACAACTGGAAATATATTTTTTTTAAATGAAACAGCCACATGAATTTGGAAGTAGGTACTTCTTCAGTCCAGCCTTCAGATGAGACAGCAGCTTGGGCTGACTCCTTAATTGCAGCTTTAGGAGAGACCCTGAAGCAGAGGATGCAGTTACGCTGTGTGTAGATTCCTGTTCCATAGAAACTATGAGATAGCAAATGTGTGTTGTATTCCGCTGCTATGTTTTGGAGTAATTTGTTACGTAAGAATAGATAACTAATACACATATCATTAATCACAAATAATAATCATTCTGTGGTAAGATACCTAAAATGGCCACTAATGTTTCCACCTTATTCTCAAGACGAGCC